TTCTAGGTATGTGGCTGTGCAATATTTTTTAATGTTTTTTTTTCTATTTTTCCTATTTTGGGTACCTAATTATTTCAGAACAGATTTAAGCACAGTTATGTGCAATTGATGGATTTAGACTGCAAATGTTATATGACTACATTTTTATGTGTCTTTAGATGCCAAAAACTCAGAATTTCAATGTCTAAGAAGGTATTAATTTGATAGATCTCTTTAGAACTCTAAAAAGCTGAACTGGAAAACAAACTGCTGGCTGCTAAAATAACTATAATAAGTATATAGGTTTGTTCAAGACCACTCTTTTGAGTCACCTGTTTGTTACGTCACTACATTCAAGCTGAACTACTTTTTACAGAAGCATTATTGAACATACTCTGCCTGTGGAAACTACATTTTTCTACTGATCTCAATAGGACATTAGTTTACATTTTCACCTTTATTACTGGAACATTAGTTTTCATAAGCAAGCAATTAAGGATTTTTGAATGTTGAAATGTGAGCTGCCTTCAAGTGGAGTTTTGCAAAATTTAATAAAATGGCTCTTTATATTGGTTCAGTTCTTCAGTGAACCTTTTACATGGGACTTCCTTGTATGTACATTTTTAAAAAAGTAAACATAAATTTCTGCAACACTTTTATGAATGTAAATTTTTGAATATTAAAATTTATTGACAAATTATTGTAAATAGAAATCAGTTACATCTTGAAATGGAAAAAAATGCTAAATTTTTGTGATAACTTAGCTTTTTTAAAAAAATATCCAAGAATGCTAAAAGTCTTACTGGGGTTGAAAAGTAGTGAGTTCAATATTCATCCCTTTTCACCTTTTTTCAGGCAGAATGCTTTTAAAAGGGGAAAAAATCTTGTCATTATGCAATTGTAACCAATAGTTTTTCAGAGAATACAGTTTTGTAGTATATCTAATGCATGTTTATTTTCTAACATTGTGTTATTGCATCTTGTGTTAATAAACTAAAAAAAAATATTAGAGAAAGCAAGATTTTGCTTTTTCCACATCCTGAGGATAATATATAACCCCACAGAGCTTGATAACAGATTGAATATTATTTAATTTGACAGTTTTTCACTGCAAACTGTCCATATGTGCTATTGGTTTAAAATCTTGCATTTTCTAATTTGAAGAGTGTTTAAGAATAATTTAATTCTGTGGATGTGCAATGGTTTGCAATCGTGTGTTACTGAATTTTATTGAGCAAGACTTAGAAATAATTATTGCTACTTGGCCATTTCACCGATTGCACTAATAGCCCAATCTGTGGTTATTTCTCCGAAGAAAACCCCTGAGTTTTAAAGGAGTTAGTTTTTGAGTACAGATACAACAATTTTATGAATGACAATATTTACTAACAAACACATTCACAGAAATACCTAGTTTTTTATGCAATATATAAATAATTCTAAGATTGCAATATTTTTACTGCTTGCTTCTCAAAGAGGTAACACCAACAATTCTCATTTTGAAAACATTAAAAAAAAGACTAATCAGGCTTTGGCCTAATTAATATATAAGAATGGAAAAGTAATTTAGAAGCAGTGGAAAGGTCTTAATAGTGTATGTTAATGAATTCTTGAATGTTTTTTTTTCTGCTTGCATTCTTGAAACTAAAAGAATGTACTTAGAAGAAAAAGAAGATTAATCAATGATTGACTCATATTCCGTTTTTTCCATTATATTGTTAATTTTAAATTGATAGATGGGTTAATAGTGAGTGTGCAGCTGTAATGGAAAATGTTGTTTGCCATGTTTCAAAAGATTAATTAACAATCTGTCAATGTTTTAATATTATGTCTGCAGCTATTACTGTTTTATGACTTGAGACAGAAAAACAAATTTAATATAATTGAAACAATATAGCATGCTGCTTACAAACTATTATATAAACATGAATACTCTTTGCACTTAACTTTCTAATTAAGTGAGGTAGTTCAAAACTTCCCATTTTGCCTGTGGCTCACTAAATCTGAAATTTGACTTAAGTATTTGTCTAACCAAGGCTATGAGAAATTGTCCAACATTTTTTCAGACTTTGAAATAGATTGAATTTGTGTTATTATTGGTTTTATTAATTCTAGATACACATCAGTTTTAGAAATGCCAGCTGGTTTGGAGAGAAATAAGCTTGTAATGTAACTTGTGCTATGTGCCTGGTGGATCATGATTAACAGCATCCATAGCAAAGTGGATTAATCCCAAATCACAGCATGTGTGCAATGACATTGCATAAATATAGGTAGTACTCGACTTACAACACACTTGGGATCAGAATTTCCATTGCTAAGCAAAGCAGTTGTTAACTCACATCTGATTTCACAACCTTTTTTTGTCATGGTTGTTAAGTGGTGGTGGTTAAGCAAATCCAGCTCCCCTGATTGACTTTGCTTGTCAGGACCTAGCTAGAAAGATGACAAATGGCAATCATGTGACCTTGGGATGCTGCAATCATTGTAAATACATGCAAGTTGCCAAGTGCCCAAATTCTGATCACATGACCGTGGAGATGCGGTGGTTGTAAGTATAAGGACTGGTTCTAAGACACAGTTTTCAGTGCCATTGTAACTTTGAATTGCTAAGGTTGTTAGTTACCTTTATGTACTGGGGTCCCTATGATTGATGCAACTTGGGTTGCTATGATTGCTGTCCTGTCCTGCTCCTGGCTTTAGTATAGGTTTTTTTTTAACTGAAAAGTAATTTAGAGTAATATATTTGCATCTACCATTAAAATATTTTAAAATATTTGTATGTGTTCAAAAAAAATAAATTTAAAATACGTGTTTGGACATATGGACTATGGTGTCCAAATTGAAAATACTTTATATAAAATGCCATGTTTCAAATTTATTTTCGGATTCAATAAATAGGGAAGTGATATAAAGAACTCCAGTAGTTGCAATCTGAACCATCTCCCATGGTTACTATTAATTTTTTATAAGTGTTCAAATTACTTGGTTCATTGTTACCATAGGATTGTAATCAGGGTTTTTTGTACTTGATTTATGTAGCTTGAATGATCAAACTTAATTAATATTCCATTGACTCTTCAATTATATTTTCAAGCCAAATGCAATCACTTCAGCAATTGTTATGGATTTCTAACTATTTCTGTTTTTTCAGTCTGAACTATTATTCATCCACCTGTTTCCTTTCTTAGAATTTTTTAAACTGTCTTCTTTCTTGTAAAACTAAGGGTTATTCACAAAACCATCAGCAGAAAAAGTCTCAATGTTTAGGGAATTCAATAAATTTCTGTAGTCCACCCAGTATATCCTAGACATTTATTTAAATAAGATGCTGTTTTATAAGTTCTGATAGGAATGTAAGTCTTAGTCATGCTGTAGATCATGTTTCTATACCAGTAATTTTATTATAGTCCAACATTACAAATAAGCAAAATAAAGTGAAATGAAATGAAAAAGACAAGATAATACTTAACAATGGTGATGGATTGCACAAAGTCTGCCTAATTTTGCGGACACTATAACAAAATTTGGCTACATTGAAAGAGACTGATCCAATAACAGCAATTGTACATAAAGGATTGGTGTTTCCACGATATTTTATCAGGTGAGGTGTTATGAGATGAGTCGATGAGTATAGAAGGTACAGTACATTAGGACATGAGCTCTAGAATGTGGGTGAAGTAAACATAGCAGCACTGGATTCTGCTGTTCTAGAGTTTCTTTAAAAATCCCTTGGCTTCAACTGGATTGAATGGCACTCAGAAAGTAATTCCATCTGCAAATTGGTAAAGAAGATTCTCAAAGCCAAATCCTATCTTGGTAAATCTGATGGCCAGGCCACTGAATCAACATTTCCAGAACTGTAAACTTGTTTCCAATAATTTACTTTTGTTTGTTCATGCATGCATGAATGATTTTAATTGTACAAAATCTGCAATTTTAGGAACAAACATGCTAGTATTTGTGCTGTTTTAAATATTAGGAGCCCCAAATCCTTGCCAGTATATGCTTTCCTCCATTCCACCGGGGTTTCAAGGAATGATCCCTAAAGACTGGCTTCTTTCCAAAACAAAAGCTGCAATGCACTGAAGGCCAGTTGTTATGCAGTCAGGTCCCCCAAATTTAATCTCTCGTGTCTCCTGGCAGGACTGATAAAAAATATAGCCATAAAAGCTGATATGCTCATGCCAATTTGTCTGCATTTGCCCAACACACGGCCTCAGATTGGGTTACTCTACCGCAGTTCAGTCGCGCCCCGAATTTAACCATCGACTTAAAGCATAATATGGTTGCTTAGGTTTTGCATGTGTGAATTCAGCAGACTACATGTTTGCATTTCTGAGCCAAAATAGTGTGTTAAGGGTGATGTCACACAAGTGTTTAGATGAAAAACCTCGAGAGAATCCGAAGTCTCTGAAAAATGATTAGGACGTTAAAAAAAAAAAAAAAACCAGCCTTGAAGAAAAGCATTGCAAAACCGATCTGTAATGTTGCGAAAAGGAGCGCATCGAGGTATTGATGTAGCCACTAAGAGCCAAAGTAGACTTCCAAGAGCCTTAACCGCCTAATTCGCTCATGAAGAACCTACCCCTATAGAATCGATCAAAGCGATGTCCCCCCCAAAAAAGCGGTTTTCCATATAGTTCCAATATAGTTTGCAGAGGTTTTCAAAAAATAGGAAAGGACGTCGCTAAAAAATACTGTACTATACTGTACTATATGCTTACTTAGACCGAATGGGGTGTTGCAGGGATCGATCGCGATCCAATACCGCTTTTTTACCCTGGCGAAAAATCCCCGCCGGGTCCCACGATTCAGTCTATGTGGCCTCGTTTAAACCAGAGCAGGCTCCCGCCTCCTCCTCTGTATCTACTCTAAATAAAACGCAACGTTCCTTGAAAAAAAGCTGCAAAGAGAGCCCGAGACTCAGCTCTTCCTCCATCGGGAAGCCAGAGGCAAAGAGGCGGCCGGGGGGTGGGGTTTCCTTGACAAGCGCCGCCCACTTCACTGGGGCAGTAGAGGCTCAGGAAGGAGGGGAGGGGCGCTGGGTCCTGGCAGGAAATGGCTCTGCGGCTGTCGCTCCGGCAGGGCCGTTCTTTCGTCTCAGCTGGCGGACAAGCCAGTAAGCGGGTAGGGGGGTTGGGGGGCGGGGGGGGGGCTTGTGTGCGGCTGAGTACGGGGAGGTGGTAGGACAACCCCGAGTCTTTCTCAAGGGGGCAAATGCTGCAGGGGCCAATCCTGGACTGCAGTCTCTGCCTGCTCATCTACCCCCACCAGCCCCCGCCCAGGCACCTTGTTCGCTCCGATCACTCATAAAGGGGACAGTGTGGTTTCTTTCACGTTGTTTCCCTTCTTTGGCTGAAGTCTCAATTTCGTTTGCCCAGTACAGGTAGCCCTCAACTTATGACCACAATTGAGCCCAAAATTCATGTGGCTAAGTGAGAACTTTGTTGAGTTTTGCCCCATTTTACGACCTTTTCTTGCCAGGTGTGTTAAGTGAAACACTGCAGTTCTTAAATTAGTAACTATTAAAATTAAATTAAATTAAAATTAAAAAAAACTATTAGTATACTATTTTTAGTGAACAGTCACTAAATGAACGGTTGTAAGTCGAGGACTACCTGTACTACAGAGTAGTGTTAAGTCCCAGGTATTTAATAAGACTTATTCTAAGGTACATAGGTAGGTACAACCTCTTCCACTATTTTTGCTTCTCTATCTTGGCCCAGCTAAGCTTTTCAGGATTTTCAGATTCATTTCTTGTAAGTAGCTACTCAAGAATTTCTTCCTCTCCCTCTCCCAATAAAATGCTAATGTTTGTTCTGTTGTAAGCTGCTCAGAGTTGCTTGGATAGTGAGACGTGGTACATAAATTTAATAAATAATTATTAAACAAATATTTGCTACCCACCTTAGTTCCACCAAACAGAATAAAGGGTTATTCTGTAAATTGTGTTGTGAAAGAGGTTGGAGCGAGAAGTGATGGATTTGTACTTAAAAATTCTTAATTTATGTCTCCTTCAGTAAGAAAGGTGTGTCTAAAGAAGAAAGAGTTGTAGAATATATACTTGTTGACTCTGGGCAGTTGATAAGTAACAGGAAAATCATACATATAAATGCTTCATTTTGGAAGAAAAATGTATTATGTGTAGTAGAACAGAATTCTGAACACGCTGTTCGATTTAAGCATACCACATGCACCATTATATGGGATTCTCACCTGCATGACCCTGTAAATCATGATACCGTATGGGACTTCTGTCATACTAAAGATGTCCAAATCTGGAGTAGTTTCCATTTTTAATTAGCGCTAACAGGATTGGAAAACGGCAATGATAGCAGTTACCCTGCTCCAAATGCGGTCTTGTAAAACTGCACAACAAAGAGAGGCACTTCAGAGTATATCTGTCTTGGAGATTATGATCACAATGAAAACCTTACTGTATTTACTGTAGAGAGAGGTTGGTCACAGGTGATCATTAATGCGATCCTGCACATGCTCATATAGCATTCTCTTCAGTGCACATCCTGTTTCTGACTCTGGGCCTCTTCCTTCTTAAATTGGCCTCTGACACAGACAGGAAACTGTCCATATGTGTTCTGTATGCATCCATATTTATATTATACTTTTCTTACATGATAACCATTTTTGGTTTTATCCATTTCCATGGGCCATTTAAAATCTCTAGGCCAGTGATGGCTAACCTTTTTGCTGTCGTGTGCCAAAAGCGGGGGGAGTGCGGGTGGTCACTTGCGTGCCCACACCCATAATTCAATGAGCCCTGCCTCCCGTGCATGCGCACATGTCCCCCACGCTCCCCCCACTTTTGGCATGCGATGGCACAGTGGGCCAGGTAGGCCCATTTTTCGCCCTCCCCAGGCTCCAGAGGCTTTCTTGGAGCCTGGGGAGGGTGAAAACGGCCTTCTCCCCCTCCCAGAGGCCCTGCGGAGGCAGAAAACAGCCCATTTCCCAATTTCTGGTGGGCCCAGAAGGCCCGAAAATCAGCTGGCCGCTGGAGCTGAGCTAGGGCAATGCTCGCGTGCCCACAGATATGGCTCCACGTGCCACCTGTGTCACACATGCCAAAGGTTCACCATCACGGCTCTAGGCCTATAACATACATCTTATGTTTATATATAACAGGCTCAGCTTTTCTGCACAGTTCTTTGGGAAGTAATACCTTTAGTGCAAAACGAAGTACTGAACCCACCAAACAACCACTTAAGAAGCCAGTAACACCAGTAGGTCGTTTTGATACACCAGAAGAATCCAATGTAGAAAAGGAGTCACTAGAAAGTAAGTGTGGTTGTGTAAAATATAAATATAATAAATGGTGTTAAAACAGGTACGGTCTTGATATGCTATAAATATCTTCAGAGAAGTATTAAAGGAAATTAATACATAGAATTATGTCTAAAAGATTGTTTAATGTTCTGGAAAAAGATGTTGAGGGGAAAATTGAAAATATTTCTGCCCCATTGATTCTCTATTACATTTCTCATGTGAACTCTGAGCCAATTTTTTCTTTTTATGTCCATCTCTTCAGAAAATATAATTCCTACATGATGCTTTATTAAATCTTTAGTTACTTTACATTTTTTCTTTGGCTTTCCGAATACCTTTTATTGTTTAAATATGAATGTACAGCTAAATAATTATTTTGTGATATATAATGTTTTAGACAATATATCAGTAACTTCGAGTTTTTCAAAGTTTTTCATTTCAAAGAAACTATATATGCATGCCATGAAGCTATAGGTAGGTAGCTTCATATGTACTTAAATCACGTAGCATAACTTTGCATTCTCTAATATAATTTACTTTAAAAAATGCTCCTCTATTGAAGTACAACAAAATATGTTGGCTCATATTTATCTCTGACCCTTGAGTCATGGGCAAATGTGCCATGCAAGTATGGTGTCACAAGATATTAGGAATGAACATAATCAATTCATAAAGTATACACATTATTTTTAAGTGTGCTTGTCATCTGCTACCTATGGATACTTCTTTCCATTACTTGTCCTAAAAAAGCTGTAATTAAGTAACTGCATAACATGGGAACCATTCCCAAAGTGGTTTATTCCCAAATGCTATTGCTTGTAGAACTTCCTATAAATTTATAATATCCAATCATGCTGAAACTAAAATCCAACAGGTGTGTCAGTGTGGGTGTGTGTATTCATATTCATTGAGCTCAAGGCAGGAAACATACATAATATTCCTGCATCTGATTTTCCCCTCAACAATAAGGGGAGGTGGGTTGGATTGAAGAGAGTGACAGGTCAAAAGTCACCCAGCTGGCTTTTATGCCTAAAAGAAGCCTCAAATCCTGTATAACACCAAATTACTATGTCATTTGAGTTCTACTTGGGTGTATCATGGTAGTTTTAATCTCATTGATAAAGCTAGAACGAGTAAACAGTCAATTAATTTGGCTTATATAATAAATAAGGCTGTGTAAAATCTGACTTCCCATTTTGCAAAAATGACTTTTCTATGATACAAATTTGTATTTTCTATCTTATTCTGAAGTACTGTGGCATTCCTTTCAAATTCTAGTGGTGGTGTTATGCTTACTTTATTACTGGTGGCAGCCAACTATTCTTTTTTCCCTCTACTCTGGATTCTTCCTGGGTGGCCCTATGTTTCACTTTGAAGAAACCCAATACAAGCATTTCTCATGGATATACAGGTAGTCCTCAATTTAACAGCAGTTTGTATAGTGACCAAATTTACAATGGCACTGAAAAAAAGTGACTTATGACTGTTTTTCACACTTATGACCATTCTGGCATCCCCATTGTTAAGGAATAACTCTTGAGTAGCAAGGGTGTGCACATGAAAGTGGTTGAGAGTAGCTATGAATAAGCACAGTCACCACACAGATATACTGAGTTGTATTACAGTTTACATTCAGGAAAAATAAAGCACAGTCCAATAAACAAAGTCTTCATACCAGTCGTAGTAATCATACACAGTAAACAGTTCTTCTGGAGTTGCAAACAGTAATACAGTAAGTCAGATAGAGATATCAGAGAGCAAGAACAACAAAGAGAACAAGCCATGTTTCTAGCTCCCTCTTAAGGACATTGGCAACAAAGCTAATCAATCAGGACACAGTATGATGCAATAGAGCAGTCTTAAGTCTTAAAGCTATACAATACAATTGCACTACACTGCAAACATACATTGATGGTCTATATATTACAAGTTAGGTAATAGTCTTATTCCTAACACATGGTCATATGATCAAAATTCAGACACTTGGCAACTGACTCATATTTGTAATGGTTGCAGTGCCCTAGGGACAAGTTTATCACCTTTTGCCACCTCTGTCAAGCAAAGTCAATGGGGAAGTCAGATTCACTTAACAAATGTGTTACTAACTTAACAACTGTGGTGACTCACTTAACAACTGCGGTAAGAAAGCTCGTCAAATGGAGCAAAACTCACTTGAATGTTTTGCTTTGCAAAAGAAATTTTGGGCTCAGTTGTGGTCATAAGTTGAGGACTACCTGTAAGTAAAACATGGAAAGCCGGGGAGACAGCAAATAAACCGTAGAGATTATTGTATAGTATCAGACAGGATATTCATAACTATTCTTTGGCTACCCTGGAAGTTTGTAAATGCAAGAATAGCAATAGCATTTAGATTTATATACCGCTTCATAGTGCTTTTACAGCCCTCTCTAAGCAGTTTACAGAGTCAGCATATTGCCCCCAACAATTTGGTTCCTCATTTTACCCACCTCAGAAGGAGGGAAGGCTGACTCAACCTTGAGCCAGTGAGAATCAAACTGCCGAACTGCAGTCAGCTGACAGTCAGCAGAAGTCGCCTGAAGTACTGCATTCTGACCACTGCACCACCACGGCTCATAAAACCTGCATGCATAAAAACATTGACAAAATTCTTTTATTTGAAATGCATTTGAAAAGCAGATTCTCTTTCATTGTATTGACTGAAAACTAGGAGACAGAAGTGCTGAGTAATTTTTGCCATTGTGTTAGTAATGAACTGAGTGCTAAAAATAAGAAAGACTCTCCAATTGAATCAAGGAACAGCACATACAGTCAAACTATGGATGATATTTGAATGTATCTGCTATTCATCAGAATTTTTGCATATTTTTTTCTCTCTTTTTTTTAGAATTTCCCGATGATATCAATCCAACGACAAAAGAGAAGGGTGGTCCCAGAGGCCCTGAACCAACTCGTTATGGAGACTGGGAAAGAAAAGGACGCTGCATTGATTTTTAACTCCTTTTATTTTTTTGGATAATGACATTTGAGTGAAAATAAAACCAAAAAGAGTGAGGGAGGGGAAACCACTTTACCTACATAAACCAAAATCTTCGCATTTATCTGTAACGTGTCATATTTGTAGTATTTAACTAGAATCTTTGTGGATGTTTATGGTTAAATATAGTGAAATTGCATTTTAATAAACTAATGTGGATAGGTTCTCCGCTGTTGATTTGGGTGATGCTACAACATTATTTTAAAAAGATGTAAAACTCTGCATGAGAAAATCTGGTAAAACTAGAGTTTACTTTATAGGTTTTCAAATTAACATTTTGGCGAAGTTCCATGGTGGCGATAGGAATGCAATAGGATTTTATTACTGTTGCAATATTAAACATACTTATTGGAAAAAAAATTGTTGAATTTATTTTTCTTACTGAAGTTATTTCATTTTCAAAGAACACTTCTATATTGGATTTAGTATGACAAAAACAGTTCATTATTCAGAGTTTGCAGAATATCTTCCGACTTTATTACATACAGGCCAAAGTATGGCAGAGCAAGGGATTTCTAATATTCCTTGATTTCTATATAAAGTAATGAAGCAAGTAATTTTTCCACATGTATGAACATAGTTTAATCATGATGGAGTAGACTGCTGAACCTTTAACTGTAAAATGTACCAAAATTAGCACACTGTTTAAGCCATTTATCTATATTTAAACCAAATACACAATGTAATTCCTAATCATTGCAAGAAAATTGTTAATTATTACCTATTAGGTTTATGTATTTTTCTTTTTAGACATGTTAAAAACTGTGAAAGTGACTTTATTCCAATCTATTTCATTTATTATTCCTCTGCACTTAATGAATTGTTTATCCCTATCTTTAGAAGAAGTGGCAATCTTGATTATGTTATCATTTATCTGTCTGATCAGCTGCTTTTATTTAAATAAAGGTTTCCTTATAAAACTATTAGCTTATTTATAAATAGCTAGAAATGTGAATTCTCAAGTAGAAGCACATTCAGGTTTTCTGAATATGAATGTATTTTCATTTGTATCTACAATGCTTTAAAACAGCATATTAATATTGATACAAATGTCCATAGAAACTTATTAAAATAAATCTAGTGACAATGAGTACTTTGTTTTGAATATTCAAAACAATTTTTCAAATTTAACTGCTTTTTTATATGGTTGGGTAAATATTTCATGTTTGGAAATCCTGAGATTGTGTGGGATCGTATTCCTGTACCTAGTTTTTTTCCAGTATTGACTATAAAATAACTATATTTTCCACATTTTCTCTTCTTAAGATTATAATTTATATATATGACCACATTACACATGATATAGGTTTAGTTAAAATTCTGTCACTTTATAAACAAAGTTAAAATTGACGGTAGAAAAGATATAAACAGAAGTATGTTTTCTTTTCGCTATGGTAATGAAGTGGAAAATGTAAGTCAATGCAAGCAACTTTTATTTGTACTGAGTAGCTATTTTGCAATATGGTAAATAAAACTTCATCTGTCACAAATACTTAAGTATACACCATTTCTATGATATAACTTGCTTGGTATCTGATTATGTACTTCATAACCACAACGGAAAATAAAAATATACATTTTTGTTCTTCACAAAAAATGCAATAAATATTATTTGTGATGCACCATACTGTATTTAATATAATAGAGATTTACTAAGATAAAATGTGTTTTGTGATAATGAAGCATTTATGCTTAAAGCATTAAAGAGGAAAATACCTCCACCTGATGTTAAAAGTACACTCTTTTTGACAGTGAAAAGACAACGTGGATCTAGGTACAATATATTTGTCTATGTTGCATAAATTTATTGGTTTGTTTTGTACTTCAGGTAGTCCTCGCTTACTTATGGTGATTGGGAATGGTTTTGCTAAGGGATGAGATCATAAAGGGCAATATCATATGACCTTGGTGACTTACGAAGGTGATTCCCTGTGATTAGGTGAATCCCATATGGTTGCAGCGTTCCATGGTCATGTGATCACCATTTATGAACTCCTGCCAACTTTCCTATTGACTTTGCTTATCAGAAGCCAATAGTGAAAGTCAGAAATGGTGATCACCTGACTGTGGGATGCTGGCTGTCATAATTGTGAGCTGGTTGCTGGGTACCCAAATCTCGACCACATGATCATGGGGATGCAACAACTGCCACAACTACGAGAATCCGTCATACATACATACCAGTGGTGGGTTTCAAAAATTTTTACAACTGGTTCTGTGGGCGTGGCTTGGTGGGTGTGGCATTGCTTGGTGGCCTTGGCTCAGTGGGCATAGCAGGGGAAGGATATTGTAAAATCTCCATTCTCTCCCCAATCCAGGGGAAGGTTACTGCAAAATCCCCATTTTCCTCCCAATCAGCTGGGACTTGAGAGGCAGAGAATAGATGGAGGCAGGGCCAGTCAGAATTTTTACTACCGGTTCTCTGAACTACTCAAAATTTCTGCTACCGGTTCTCCAGAACTGGTCAGAACCTGCTGAAACCCACCTCTGTTACATACGTTTTGGGAAGAAAGAGACTTTCCATAATTTATTTTTATAACATTATCCTAATAAAGCTACAATGATTGGATCCTTACTCTTGCTCTGGGTCCTAGTCTTCCTTCCTGGGTTTTATTCTCTATAACCAAGAGCAGAGCATGTTTAGTTTAGTTTATTTTTTAAAAAAATTCACAAAAATCTGTAAAGAATCAAAACCTCCCAGATTATCCCAACTATAAATTTAAACTTAAAATGTTAATTAGTCATACTTCAGAAATGTAGGCAGGCTGAATCACCATTTCAATAATCTTAAAATCAGAAGACTAGAGAAAGAATACTGTACAACTTCTAATGTTAGCCTAATGATTTTAAATTTTGACATTTTATTACCAAAAAAAACCCCTAAGAGGAAAAAATAAAATTTGAGACAATTAACCAACTTATAAAATTCATATAATATGTTACTTCAGAGATATTCAGAGACGTCTTGGTTTTTCTGCAGATAAACATGAAATCTATTTGTTTTCTGAAGTGTTTTCCAGATTTTTTTCTCCCATAGGGATAGATCAGCATGGAAGATGCTATTTAGTCTGTAGAGTATAAATACCTGCCTGCTGTTTAAAACTTGCCTCACCGATGGATATAATCATAGAAACATGATGCTTGCTTGCTTTGAACAGCCAGAATCTTACCTCAAGAAGATTATGTCTTGAAAAACGACATTATTTTGCATTGTGCAGTATACTGACAGAAATCCTACCATAAATGAATATGTGGAAGATTACAGTAATTAAGCATTTTTTGGTCTCAGAAGTCAAAAATACAGAGTCCAGCCATGTTTGGTCTCTTTGGAACACCCCAGAGCTGAAAGATCAGACATGACCATTAAAATACCCAGACACGACCATTCTTTTCAGGTTCCCAGCAGCAGAAATATGGATCTCTCCTAAATACCCACTTAACTCTTTTCCTACTTTTCTTTTACTGTCTTCTAAAACCATTCATTTTTAAAAGTCAAGGCTGATACCAGCTCACTGGTATTAGATATAGTCCCTCTGTGCTAGGGAGATGATGATTAGATGAAATCATCACTTAGGAGGTAACCTGAGATCATGGAATAGCCATCAGGAGCAGTTAACACCTTGCAGGAGTGAGATTGATCTTACATGTTGCTTAGATGTCTGAAGCCAGAGATTCTGAACATGGTCCTGGTCCTATTAGATCTCTCGCTTTTGATACCATCGACCATGGTATCTTGCTGCGAGGCCTCGAGGGGTTGGGAGTGGGAGGCACCGTTTTACGGTGGTTCACCTCCTACTTCTCGGGTTGTACGCAAGCGGTGTTGGCAGGGGGGCAGAGGTCAGCCATGAGGCCCCTCACTTGTGGGGTGCCCCAGGGGTCGGTCCTCTCGCTCCTTCTGTTCAACATTTACATGAAGCCGCTGGGAGAGATCATCCGTGGTTTTGGGGTGGGGTATCATCAGTACGCTGATAATACCCAGCTTTTTATATCCACCCCGAACCAGCCCAGTGATGCCCTCGATGTGATGTCCCGGTGCCTGGAAGCGGTACGGATCTGGATGGGGAATAACAGGCTTCAACTCAACCCAGCCAAGCCCGAGTGGCTGTGGATACCAGCATCTCGGCCCGAGCAAAAAGTTCCAACACTGTCTATTGGGGGCGAGGTGTTGCCCTCCGTAGACAGGGCGCGCAACTTGAGCATCCTCCTGGACTCACAGCTGAGTTTGGAGGGTCATATCACGGCCGTGACCAGGGGGGCGTTTGCCCAGGTTCGCCTGGTGCGCCAGTTGTGCCCATATTTGGACCGAGATGCCCTACACACAGTCTCTCATGCGGTAGTCACCTCCCGGATCGACTACTGCAATGGTCTCTACCTGGGGCTGCCCTTAAAGACCACCCGGAGGCTTCAGCTGGTACAGAATGCGGCCGTGCGGGTTGTTGCGGGAGGGTCCTGATACTCCCCTATTACACGTCTCCTCTGCGGCTTGCATTGTTGCTGGTTGCCCTCTGGGTGAGATTCAAGGTGCTGGTGTTATCCTATAAAGCCCTTCATGGCTTAGGCCCAGGCTATTTGTCAGACCACCTGCAACCAGCGTCAACTTCCCATCGCCCGGTGTGCTCTCATAGAGAGGGCCTACTCAGGGTGCCGTCGGCTAGACAATGTCGGCTGGCGACCCCCAGGAGTAGAGCTTTCTCTGTGAGCTTTCTCTGAGACCCCCATCCTTCTCTCTTCCTCCCTCCCTCCCTCCCTCCCTCTCTCTCTCTCTCTCTGCAACCATTGTAAATAGCATACTATTTGCCAAGTAGTTGAATTTTGATCATATGACCATGGGGATGCTGTGTGCATCACTTTTTTTAGTGCTGTTGTGACTTCAAACAGTCACTAAACAAATGGTTGTAAGTCAAAGACTACCAGTATTGCACAGAATTCTACTGAGGAGAAAGCAACATGCAGTTGGGTTTAATGCAGCTGAACTGCCAATGCTGGACATTACTAGACCACCAGTCCATTCCTCTCTTGTCACTGACATACTCTCAATATAGCATCTCTCGCTTCTCCCACTACCATCCAGCCTGCTGGAGTAAATGGTAACTTCACTCCAGTTTTGGAGTGGAGGGGCAGCAGGATGATGCTGTCACGGGGACTCTGTCCTGCAGTTGACCAAAATTGCTGCTGTGGGTGTTACCTACTGAACAGTGGTGGGTTCCTCCTGGTTCGGTCTGGTTTGGCCAGACGATATGATGTCACCGAACCGGTTCTCCCCCCCGCTCTCCCACCCCCCCACCCCCATGTTATTCTTACCTTTTATTTGGTCCCACCCCCAATCTATTGCTGCCTCCTGAGTCCCAGCTGATGACTAGAGGGAAAAAAACTGTTTAAACTCTTGCCGCAGGGCTTCAAAGGGCCGTCCTACAGCTGATCAGTGTTAAAAGCAAATAAATGAGTCGGGTCGTAAGTGCGAGGACTGTTCGTAAGTGCAATGACCTTCCAGAAATGACTCTGACCAGCTAGCCACGCCCACCTAGTCACATGACCTCCAAACCACACCCACAAAATAAGCCACGTCCACAGAACCGGTAGTAAAAAAATTTAGAACCCACCCCTGCTACTGAAAGCGGGAAATGTTACTATCATTGTGCCTGCCCATTTTGGTGGTGACTGTTCCCAATCAGCTTCAGTCTTCTAATGTCTTCCTGTAACTGGCCACTCCAAGTGAGTCTTCTTGTTGACTTGGGAGCAGGGAGGCACAGCAATAAGAGCCCTTCGTCCTCCTACTCCACTGTAGTTGGGACAATTATATTTTGATAAAGGGGCGCCATCTTGATTGCTACTACTACTCAATTTGGTTCTCGAAGCTGTTTCCCTGGTCAGATGTTTCCCTTACCATCACCACCCCTCTGCTAGCTTGGCTACTATAGGGAATATAACTTGGGGCGATACCACAGAAGATGAAAACTGCAAATGTGGGGAATTGCAGAGTCCTGAGCATTGACTGAAATGCCATAATCTTGATAGGCTCCATACAATTGACTATTTGTTCCTGGCCAATGATAAAGCTATTCAGGCAGCTACTTTCTGAGCCTCAAATGTTATATAATGTCACATAAGTGTTTTAAATTCAAATTACTTTTGTAATAGTGAAAGTTTTCTTCCTAAAGTATTCCTAAAAAAATACTTTAGATTGTTATATTGGATTTATTTATTTTTTTAATTTAAGATGTTCTGGACTCAAAAAATGAATAAATACATAAGCTTGGCCTCATGAGCTCTTGCTGTACCTCCTGACAAAGTGCTGAGCAGTTTGTACACAGGTACCACGAGGTGCTTGCACACTTTTCCTTCCTTCTTTCCTTGAGGAGCAGAAGAAATGGGGGTTTCTTCCACAGACAGAGAAACATCTTAAGGCCTCCTGTTCTGGTTAGTAGAAGGTGTAGAATTAATTATTTCTTGTCAGTTCTGTCTCAGCATCCTTTGGAAGGCAAACAGAAGTCCATTCTTTGCATGTCAGTTAAAGCCTTTTTTCCCTGCAGTTAATTTATAAACTGTTTATCATGGAGTAATATGCAAATTTGAATAGACAGTTGCACAAAGGCTTAG